CGTCACCCTTGCAGGGAAGTAGGGCATCTTATCGCTTATAAGGTCCAACTCGTAGTCTGTATAGTCCACTAAACGCACAATCTGCACAATCGATATAAACAAAATGTCAGCAACAAAAAGATCGCTTAAGCGACCAACAATAAACTGAAAGAATCTCTTAAGCGACACAAAAGATCGCTTATTATATCTGTGATTCTACCTCTACAAGATCGCTTAAGCGATCCGAAATCGCTTAAGTAACCAAGAGTAAACTGAATCAATCGCTTAAGTGATCATTAGTGCGATCATGAGTAAAACAGATTAATCGCTTAAGCAATACACATGATCGCTTAAGCGACAGTACAAGCAATATTCCCAAACAACGTACCCTTTCTTCGCCGGCCTTCTCCTTGTAGCCTGAATCCTCGGACGACTCCTCCTGGCCTGAATTCTCGTCGGAATCCTCCTCCTAGCCTGAATCCTCGCCTGACTCCTCGTCTTCAGAACCGTTTGCTGGTTCTTCCCTCTGTTCTTGTGCCGCCAGCGTCTCCTCTGCATGTGGACGAACCACCTTCACTGATCGGATGATCCACCAGAGCAGCCATTAAACTGCTTGCGCCACCGGAATCTAGGATTCGAAGTGGCATTGGGTTTTCCTCATTGTCCGTGTCAGCCATGGTTTTGGATTAAATTTGGTGTCAAAGTTTGCAGTTTCGATCGGAAATGTGGCCTGTATCGTCGGAAATCGCACAGATTCCGTTTAGAGTTAAGGAAATCGATTTTAGGGTTCAACAAATCGATCGAAAATCGCGACTATATCGCCGAAAATCGCGAGTGTATTCGGTTTAGGGTTCAAGAAATTGATTTATGGTGCAAATTTGCAAGTGTTCGATCGGAAAAAATTGCATCTCCCTTTCGTTCAAGAAATCACTTTTTGAACTAATGAATTTCGATTAAGCGAGGTAAATAGTTAGTGGGGCTTGTTTTGCGAAATTTCAAATTTTAAAAACTTTAATTATTTCTAATTCGGCCCACATATGTTTTAATCTTTTCATTTTAACCCATTTTATGTGTTTAATTAATCCTAACTATGCTACGTCATCTTCTCTAAATTAAAAAAAAACGATAAACAGTTTCAAGGCCATTTTCTTAAATCGAAATTTGGAATGGTCGAGCAGCTAAATTTTCTCTAAGTTAGGCCCCTTCTGGTGCATATCTTGACCTTATTATTTATAAAATTCATAAAATATAGATTCTTCTCAAATAAATCATCATAGAAAAGATACTTACAAATTAGAGAACAAAATAGTCAAAAACTATACAACAGACTTGACATTCACTTACGTCGAGAAAACAAAATCAAGGAGTAAAAAGGTACTCAAAAGTTGCAGTATCCATAAGTAGCTTGTGTAAGCTCCGGAAAAGGACCTCATAAGGATACTTTAAGGAGTTGGCTTCAGATATATGTGGAATCAATGCAAATTGATCAATTTCCTTAAACCAAAAAAAAGATTCAAACCATGGACCCTTGTTTGCCAGCAAATAATGATAAGACTTCATAAATAGTAAAACATTTCTTTCAAACATAGGAGACATATCCCACACATCACTTTTCTTCCTTTCTTTCTTGCTTCATTCTTTTTTTCTTACTTTCTTTCTTTCTTTTTTTTCCCCTGTTTAAGCACATAGCCTAGATATCATCATTTCAAATCTCTTTACAAGACTGTCATCTTTCATAGATATAATAAATTATAAATTTAGGGGCAGTTTAAAAAAAAAACAAATAGTTTAATACATGTATCTAATTATAAGGTGCGGAAAGGGGGGAAGCAAGAGTTTGAAAACAAACTTCTATGATTGCAAGCACACCCAGAAAAGTAGGAAACAGAAACGACTATGAAATAGTAGGGAAAAAAAAACTGAAGAGAGCCTATTTTCAACAATATTCCAATTCTCATGCACATAGAAAAATTCTAACCTAACCTAATGCTAACTAAAATCTAAAACATAGCAAAAAGTAATTAACACAAGTTTACAGCATAATTCAAACTCTTTATCTTATCAGACTCCACATTTTTTTTTAGGATGTGAAAAATAAGCTCAGATTTCCTTTACTATATTGTCTTTGGTATTTATTTTACCAAAGCAACAAATACAAGAAAGGATATGTTATAGCAAGCATTCTATGTTTCTATATTGGTCCGATTGAGGAGAATTAGATTCACTATAATCAAAACATAAAAATTTAAATAAGACTGCAACGAAACAAAATCTAACAAAGATTGCCCATCCAATAAATTGGAATAAGAATCATAAGTGTATATTTTCAGAAATATTCCCAAGAAGAAGCTAAGGCAAAACAATCAGTGACCAAAGATCACAACTAACATTTGATTTACGATGCGATCAAGTGAGAAACTAAACATATAATCCATAATATCAGGGCAAAGAATATTTCACAGTGAGTTAAATAAAATTGAACCTTTAAAACGTTGATCCTATCCCCCAGAGCAAAAACAGCAGAACAATTCTTCAGTGGTTCTCTTCATCTTGAAAAAAGACTAGTGCTTCTAGTCTCTACACCAATCAAATCACTATATGTTGCTATATCTAACTGGAGTTTCTCCAACACTTGTATATAAACACGGAAATGTGCACTTAAAACCTGCAATTGGAACAGCAAAGTATCAATATATGCAAGAATATTCTTACACTAGAATTTATAAGAATCATCCTAATCTTTTCATCTGTTAAAATGTAATAATCTTATCATATGCACATAGCAATTAAAAAAGCATGGGTGTAATACATGTAGAACAACATATGCTTATCTTTCAAGAAGTGATAAACTAAATAACAGTTACATTAAAAGTGATCTGGTACATAAAATCTTAGCACTATAATATATGCAGCACAACCCTTAACACAGAAATTCATAATAGACCCACCACTCTGTACTTCCAAAGTAGAGATAGGTATCTCAGTAAAACTTATGTGGCATATTATTTGATACAGTGAATCAAAACAACAGTCATATTAATTGCACTAACAAATATATTTCTATACCCTGCTGCAACATGGCTACCTACTTAATCCATAACCTTAAAAAAAAAAAAAAATCTTAGCTTTTGAAGTTAACAACACAAGATGAAGTTACCAAATAGCCATCCAAACTTTCCACAAACTAAAATGAATCCAACTTTACTTTGCTTAAGCTCATCCTTAATAAGTCCATCACAAATCAAAGCACAGTCTAAGCTTTACTCAAAAAATGAGCTTCAAGTAATACCTTTTTATAGTCGATAGTTTGCCTAAAAATAAATCCTAACAAGGAACCAGCAACCATGACAAAAAAGTCAAACAAAAAGTTGAGCCCAAAAGCCTTAGGTAAAGGTATTAATGTTTTAAACAAGAACAAAAAGAACAAGCACAAAACATACAGGTCGTCAGCAGTGTCAATTATCTAAAAGAACATCATCCAAAAGTCAGAAGTTTTTGAGCAATAATTTTGAAGATATATGATAAGAACCCACTCCAATAACTCAACAATTGGGTTGGGTCATGGGTAGAACTCTCCTTGGAAAACTGGCTTGCTAAGGGAGGGTCCCAAGCCCTTATAAACCACATGCCCACCCCTTTTTCCTCTCAATGTGGGACCCTAACATAACACCATGCTTCAGCAGTCGACATCCACATTAGCCTCTTTACCCCCATCAGCCTCTTTATCCCTTGGGCGGCTACACAGATTCCCCTTCCCTCGGGCCTCCATGCCCTTTCTTGGGGTAGCAGCCCAGGCCTAAGGTCAGCTTGCCACGTATACGACATCCACATGGGTGCTGGATCATGCTCTGATACCATTTGATAGGAACTCACTCCAATAACTCAACAATTGGGTTGGGTCATGAGTCTTTCATGGGCTTGGATAGAACTCTCCTTGGAAAACTGGCTTACCAAGGGAGGGTGCCTAAGCCCTTATAAACTACATGCCCACTCTTGTTCCCCCTCAATGTAGGATCCTAACAATATATAATGAACTAACTCTTCATTCAAGAAAGATATTCCGAAATTGTATATTCAGCTGAACCAATTAAAAAATGTGGTAGCTTTGGTACGTGCCAAAAAGATTGAAAGAAGTACCTAGTTAAGACAAGGTCACTACAATTTTAGGGTCCCAAGTCAAGTTTTGTTATTCAATTATCTTTGAAGTTTGCTAGCTTGGTACAAAATACACTTCCACATATTTTAAGAGAAAAATTGAATGCTAAAACTTCAACAGCAAGAAAGGTTGAGTTCTCCCAACCAATTGGCTACTTATTAAAAAATTTAGTAGCCATAAAGACAAGAAAATTATTGATAGGTTTGCTAAGAATTACTAAGCAGAATACTATTGTTACTATAAAAATCTTCATAAAGTTTTGAAAAAAAAAAAATTAATACAAATTACCTGATTCAAAAAAATCAAGAATAGAAGGTAAAGGGAAAATTTAAAAAAAAAGTATAAAACAAGGAACGATTTTAAAGTTAATGTTGAATTCCTAAGATAAGAATGTGAAAACTTAGGAGTTATCTAGGCATTATCTAGTTTTTAAAATTTAAAAATTAGGATAATTCTAACTTAAGGTTATCAAGATATCTAGAGTTAGTCTATAACTAGATATGTATGATATGTATTTTTTAAGTGAATAAGTTTTTCCTCTATTTTTCATGGTATCGGAGCCAGGTTCTCTGGCCATAGTAATTGATGGTTAAAAGAGCCATGACTGGTGGCAGGCAGGGTAAGAGCCTAAGTCCACCACATGTTCGACAGATTCCTTCTTCAGATCTGAAATCTGGACAAACAGGAGTCCAACCTCAGTTAAATGATAATAATTTCATTCAAATTAGTGTTCACAAATTGAATGGAAAAAATTATATCCCATAGTCTCAAGCTATGAAGTTGATGGTTCGAGGTAGAGGAAAATTGGGTTACTTGACTGGAGCATTCAAAGCTCCGAAGGAAGATGATCCAGCATATGAGAAGTGGGATGTTGAGAACAGTACAGTAATGGCCTGGTTGATCAATTCCATGGAGGAGGAGATAGGCCGGCTCTATTTGTTTCTTCCCATTGCAAAAGATATTTGGGAAATAGCAAAAGAAACATATTCAGACATGGGGAATTCAGCACAGATATCTGAGATCAAATCAAGGTTGAGAGAGACCAAACAAGGCAACATGTCTGTAACCCAATATTATAGTTTATTGGCTAAGTTGTGGCAAGAGTTGGATTTATTCTATGAGGCAAATTGGAGTTGCTCTCAAGACAATTTAAAGTACACTAAGATGTTGGAAAAGGAGAGAGTGTTTGAGTTCCTTGCAGGGCTGAATAAGGAACTAGATGAAGTGAGAGGTAGGGTTTTGGGAAAAGAATCCTTACCTTCTATTCGTGAAGTGTTTGCAGAAGTAAGAAGAGAAGAAAGCAGAAGGAAAGTGATGATGGGTGATTTAGCAGGAACTAGCAGTTTGGGTACACAACCACAATCAGAGTCCTCAGCTCTTGTTTCCAAGGGTTGGGAGACACATACCAATCCTAATGTAGATCAAAAACTGTTGAGACGAGGAGAGAAAATCTGGTGTGAATATTGTCATCGGCCAAAGCATACTAAGGCTACCTGCTGGAAACTACATGGCAGACCATCAAATTGGAAGACAAATAAACCTAATGGCAAGGGATTTCATGCTGATGTGGAGGAAAATACATCTCTGAAAGTTGAGGATCATCCAAGGCCTGTACCATTCAGCAAAGAGCAGTTAGAACACCTACATGAGTTGTTTAGTCAGTCCAGTTTTGGTTCTTTTGGTTCTTCAAGTCATTCATGTTCATTTGCTGAGACTGGTAATTCCCTTACAGCTCTGCATACTAGTTTGGGAACAAACAAACCTTGGGTTATAGATTCAGGAGCCTCAGATCACATGTCAGGTAACTCAAACGTGTTTGTGTCTTATAGTCCATGTTATGGTAATCTTAAGGTCAAAACAGCTGATGGTTCCTTGTCAAATATAGCTGGTAAAGGATCAGTCCAACTCTCTAGAAATCTTTGTTTAAATTTCGTCCTTCATGTTCCTAGCCTATCTTGTAATCTATTATCCATTAGCAAACTAACCAAAGACTTAAAATGTGTGGCTAAATTCTCTTCTTCCCACTGTGAATTTCATGACTTACTCTCGGGGAGGATGATTGGCAATGCTAGAGAAGAAGGAGGGCTCTACTACTTTGATGAGAAGGCTAATGAGAATAATCCAGCTATAGCATCTAGGTGTAATTCTGCCGCAGTTTCTGGTAATTTAGAAATAATGTTATGGCATATAAGATTAGGCCATCCTAGTTTTCCTTATTTGAAAAGGTTGTTTCCATTATTATTCAGAAATAAAAATTCATCATTATTTCAATGTGAAATCTGCCAAATTGCAAAGCATACTCATTCAATGTATCCAGCAAATCCTTACAAGAAGTCTAGACCTTTTTCTTTAATCCATAGTGATATTTGGGGACCCTCTAGGGTTACAAACATTGCAGGATCTAAGTGGTTTATTACCTTCATTGATGACCATACTAGACTAAGTTGGATATATTTTTTGAAAGAAAAATCTGAAGCATGTCAGATTTTTCAGAAGTTTCATTCCATGGTTAAAACTCAATTCCAAACACAGATTCAAATCTTAAGGACTGACAATGGTAGAGAGTATTTCAATTCTATCCTAGGAAATTATCTATCCANTCATCCAAGGCCTATACCATTCAGCAAAGAGCAGTTAGAACACCTGCATGAGTTGTTTAGTCAGTCCAGCTCTGATTCTTTTGGTTCTTCAAGTCATTCATGTTCATTTGCTGAGACTGGTAATTCCCTTACAGCTTTGCATAGTAGTTTGGGAACAAACAGACCTTGGGTTATAGATTTAGGAGCCTCAAATCACATTTCAGGTAACTCAAGTGTGTTTGTGTCTTATAGTCCATGCTATGGTAATCTTAAGGTCAAAATAGTTGATGGTTCCTTGTCAAATGTAGCTGGTAAAGGATCAGTCCAACTCTCTAGAAATCTTTGTTTAAATTCCGTCCTTCATGTTCCTAGTCTGTCTTGTAATCTATTATCCATTAGCAAACTAACCAAGACTTAAAATGTGTGGCTAAATTCTCTTCTTCGCACTATGAATTTAAGGACTGATAATGGTAGGGAGTATTTCAATTTTATCTTAGGAAATTATCTATCCAGCCATGAGATTATACACCAAAGCTCCTGTGTAGATACCCCACAGCAGAATGAGATTGTTGAAAGGAAAAATAGGCACCTATTAGAGGTTGCCCGGGCCTTGATGTTCACCATGAACATGCCTAAATATTTTTGGGGTGAGGTAGTCCTCACAGCCACCTATTTAATCAATAGGCTGCCTTCTAGGAGTTTAGAGTTCAATACTCCTTTGTCTATCTTCCTTGAAACATTTCCCACCTTTAGAGCCCTCAATTCTCTTCCTTTGAAATCTTTTGGGCGTACTGCATATGTTCATGCCCATTCTCCGAATAGAGGCAAGTTAGAACCTAGGGCCATTAAATGTGTGTTTGTAGGATACTCTCCCACACAGAAAGGGTATAAGGGTTTGTGTCCCATTAAGAAAAAAATGTTTATTTCTAAGGATGTGACTTCTTTGAGTCTCATCCTTATTTTCCCAATTAGGGGGAGAACTTAAATGAAGTTGTTTTTGGGAAATAAACACTTCCCTTAAGTAGATTCTAATCCTACTTTCCATCAACACCTCAAACTGAATTTACCCCTAACTCAACCTCTTTAACTGACAGATTCTGAGGTTATAAGTCTCATTTCTATAGAACAGAAAATCAGAAAGTGTAGGTCAGAAAACATAAAGACAGGGAAGGATTAGCAAGACTCAATCAGCACGGACTGAAATTATTCTCGAAAGCTGATCATCAAAGTAATAGCACTTAATGATCTGCAAGGCCAATTATCCCAACCAGAAGAAGTATGACTCAGTCATCAGTTGGAAAGTTTGTCCTTAGTAAGTCGAATCAAGCGATGATCTTCCTATAGCTCTTAAAAAGGAGTTCTCTTGTTTTACATCCTATTTCTAGTTTGTGTCCTATGATAATTGTCCTCTGGTTTTCGTGCATTTGTTACTAATCTTTCAATATAGAAGTTCCAAAATCATAATGAAGCCTTGGATATCCTAAATGGAAAGAGGCTGTAAGAGGAGATGAAGGCCTTGGAAAAGAAATGGACTGGGAGCTGGTGAGCTTACAGAAAAGAAGAACTATTGTTGGCTGCAAGGGTTTTTAGTGAAGAATACAAGGCAGATGGAACAGTTGAGAGATACAAGGCAAGATTTTAGCTAAGGGTTCACACAAACCTATGGAGTAGATTATCAGGAGACTTTTGGTCCTGTACCAAACTGAACAATATTACGAGTGATTTTATTCTCTTGAGTTGCAAATTTAGATTGGCCCCTGCAACAATTGGATGTTAAGAATGCTTTCTTGAATGGTGATCTTGCAGAAGAAGTTTATATGAAGCTGCCCCCAAGTTTTGAAGGAAATTAGGTTGACAGGATGGTGTGCTGGCTGAAAAAATCTTTGTATGGCTTGAAGCAGTCTCCTAGGGCCTGGTTTGAGAAATTTACTAAGGCTATCAGAAGTTATAGTTTTATTCAAGGACAGGCTGATCATACACTGTTTTTCAAGACTGAGGGTGGTAAGATTACTATCTTAACAGTATATGTTGATAATATTATTCTTACAGGGGATAATCTTGAAGAAATGGATATGGTAAAAAGAGTTCTTGCTCAGGACTTTGAGATAAAAGGATTTGGGGCAGCTAAGATATTTTTTAGGCATGGGGATTGCAAGGAATAAGAAGGGAGTTTCTGTGTCTCAGATGATATATGTTCTGGATTTATTGAAGGATACTAGAATGTTAGGTTGCAAACCTGCTGAGACTCCCATTGAATAGAATGTGAAATTTAATGAGATAAATGGAGATACAACAGTTGATAAAGGGAGGTATCAAAGACTAGTTGGGAGATTGATATACTTATCTCATACTAGGCCTGACAGCATTTTCTGTAAGTGTTGTAAGTCACCACATGCACAATCCACAAGATAAGCATCTTGAGGTTGTAAATAGAATCTTAAGATATCTGAAGAAAACTTCTGGTAAAGGACTGTTCTTTAGGAAGACTAATGAAAGAAAGGTAGAAGCTTTCACAAATGCAGATTGGGCAGGTTCAGTGAGTGATAGGAGGTCAACCTCAAGATATTGACATTTGTTTGGGGAAATTTAGTGACTTGGAGGAGCAAGAAGCAAACTGTAGTAGGAAGGAGTAGTGTAGGGGCTAAGTTTAGGGCAATGGCACAAGGTATTTGCGAACTGATCTGGTTGAAAAGATTATTAGTTGAGTTGGGAATCAAGAGTGGGAACCTATGAAGCTCTATTGTGACAACAAGGGTGCAATTGGTATTGCACACAATCCAATTCATCATGACAAACAAAACCAAACATGTGGAGATAGATCGCTAGTTTATCAAAGAAAAGATAGAAGAGAAGCTTTTGTGTGTTATATATCTACCTACAAGCCAGCAGACCGCCGATATCCTTACAAAAGGATTGCCTAGACAAAGTTTTGATAGTCTTATCTCCAAGCTGGGATTGCTAGACATCTTCTCATCAGCTTGAGGGGGAGTGTTGAATTCCTAAGATTAGAATGTGAAAACTTAGGAGTTATTTAGGCATTATCTAGTTTTAAAATTTAAAAGTTAGGATAATCTTAATTTAGGGTTATTAAGATATCTAGAGTTAGTCTATAACTAGAGATGTATGATATGTATTTCTTTAAATGAATAAGAGTGAATAANTCTCTTCAGGGGGAGAACTTAAATGAAGATTGTTTTTGGGAAATAACACTTCCCTTAAGTCAGAATTCTAATCCTACTTTCACATCAACACCTCTAAACCTGAATTTACCCCTAACTCAACCTCTTCTAACTAGACCAGATTCTGAGGTTATAAGTCTCATTTCTATCAGAACAGAAAATCATGAAGTTGTAGGTCAGAAACACATAAAGACAAGGGAAGGATTAGCAAGACTCAATCAGCCAGGACTGAAATTTTATTCTCGGAAAGCTGATCATCAAAGTAATAAGCATCTTAATGATCTGCAAGGCCAATTATCCCAACCAGAAGAAGTCATTGACTCACAGTCATCAGTTGGAAAAAGTTTGTCCCTTAGTAAGTCTGAATCAAGCGATGATCTTCCTATAGCTCTTAGAAAAGGAGTTCGATCTTGTACTTTACATCCTATTTCTAAGTTTGTGTCCTATGATAAATTGTCCTCTGGTTTTCGTGCATTTGTTACTAATCTTTCAACTATAGAAGTTCCAAAATCAGTAGATGAAGCCTTGGATGATCCTAAATGGAAAGAGGCTGTAATGGAGGAGATGAAGGCCTTGGAAAAGAATAGGACTTGGGAGCTGGTGAGCTTACTAGAAAAGAAGACTATTGTTGGCTGCAAATGGGTTTTTACAGTGAAATACAAGGCAGATGGAACAGTTGAGAGATACAAGGCAAGATTGGTAGCTAAGGGGTTCACACAAACCTATGGAGTAGATTATCAGGAGACTTTTGGTCCTGTAGCCAAACTGAACACTATTAGAGTGCTTCTATCTCTTGCTACAAATTTAGATTGGCCCTTGCAACAATTGGATGTTAAGAATGCTTTCTTGAATGGTGATCTTGCAGAAGAAGTTTATATGGAGTTGCCACCAAGTTTTAAAGGAAATCAGGCTGACAAGAAGGTGTGCAAGCCGAAAAAATCTTTGTATGGCTTGAAGCAATCTCCTAGGGCCTGGTTTGAGAAATTTACTAAGGCTATCAGGAGTTATGGTTTTATTCAAGGACAAGCTGATCATACACTGTTTTTCAAGACTAAGGATGGTAAGATTACTATCTTAATAGTATATGTTGATGATATTATTCTTACAGGGGATAATCTTGAAGAAATGGATATGGTAAAAAAAGTTCTTGCTCAGGACTTTGAGATAAATGATTTGGGGCATCTAAGATATTTTCTAGGCATGGAGATTGCAAGGAATAAGAAGGGAATTTCTGTGTCTTAGAGGAAATATGTTCTGGATTTATTGAAGGATACTGGAATGTTAGGTTGCAAACCTGCTGAGACTCCCATTGAACAGAATGTGAAACTTAATGAGATAAATGGAGATACACCAGTTGATAAAGGGAGGTATCAAAGACTAGTTGGGAGATTGATATACTTATCTCATACTAGGCCTGACATAGCATTTTCTGTAAGTGTTGTAAGTCAGCATATGCACAATCCACAAGAGAAGCATCTTGAGGCTGTAAATAGAATTTTAAGATATCTGAAGAAAACTCCTGGAAAAGGACTGTTCTTTAGGAAGACTAATGAAAGAAAGGTGGAAGCTTTCACAGATGCAGACTGGGCAGGTTCAACGAGTGATAGAAGGTCTACCTCAGGATATTGTACATTTGTTTGGGGAAATTTGGTGACTTGGAGGAGCAAGAAGCAAACTGTAGTAGGAAGGAGTAGTGCAAGGGCTAAGTTTAGGGCAATGGCACAAGGTATTTGCGAACTGATCTGGTTGAAAAGATTATTAGTTGAGTTGGGAATCAAGATTGGGAACCTATGAAGCTCTATTGTGACAACAAGGGTGCAATTGGTATTGCACACAATCCAATTCATCGTGACAAAACCAAACATGTGGAGATAGATCACTAGTTTATCAAAGAAAAGATAAAAGAGAAGCTTTTGTGTGTTATATATCTACCTACAAGCCAGCAGACCGCCGATATCCTTACAAAAGGATTGCCTAGACAAAGTTTTGATAGTCTTATATCCAAGCTGGGAATGCTAGATATCTTCTCATCAGCTTGAGGGGGAGTGTTGAATTCCTAAGATTAGAATGTGAAAACTTAGGAGTTATTTAGGCATTATCTAGTTTTAAAATTTAAAAGTTAGGATGATCTTAATTTAGGGTTATTAAGATATCTAGAGTTAGTCTATAACTAGAGATGTATGATATGTATTTCTTTAAATGAATAAGAGTGAATAAGTTTTTCCTCTATTTTCATGTTACTTATATGTTTGTATTTATTTATAGGGAAGAATAGTAATCTCCTGAAATAAATGTTCAATTTCATGCTTATTGAGGTATCTTAATTTGGTAGTTGTTTAAACAATTTCTGTAGATTTTGTTCATCATGAAATCAAAAGCACACATATGTTTACTGATGTAGTGATTGTTTTAATTGCATCTGCATAAGATTTTTTTTTTTTTTGTTTATTTTTTTTAACATCTATCTTAGATGATTTCTAAGTGTCAATGCTTGCTCCTGGATTACAAAATGAGTTGTTGTCTAATCTTGATTTGAATTTTAATAATTTTTCTTTGGTTTTATCACGGTAGTGAACTGCATTTTTTTTTTGTTTCCGAAACCAGTTGTTTCTTTTGTTTATTTTGACATTGAAAACAACTATAGGAATAGGTCAAGACATTCTCTGGACTCGTGAATGTCGCTGGATCCCTAGATTTTGGTAGATGGCTTGTATTTTTCTCTTTATTATGAGATGTCTGTGCTCTGTGGTATCATGGAACACTACATTGTATATTTGCTTAAGACTCTGTACTTTTACTGCTTGCTTTCATCTGTATGGTCGAATAAAATCTCTGAATTTGGGTTTAAGATATTTTTGGTTTTTGGCAGAGTTCCCTTGTGGATCTTCCTCTGAAGAATTACTACAGATATGTTGTTCCAACCATGGTATGTCTCCTATTTAGAGAATCCTAGATTTGGAGTTTTTATGCTTAGTTACTTAGTTGGCTATTAATTTGCAGGATGATTTCAGCAATAGTGATTCCTCAATAAATGGCCCAAAAGCCTTTTTTGCAAATATGCCATTGTCCAAAACCCTCACCATGAATCTTGATGTACCAGAGCCCTGGCTTGTTGAGCCTGTTGTTGCCGTGTATGTTTCCTTCTGACATGACATTCTGATTTTTTTTACCTGCTGTTTACGTGCTTCTTAATATTTCTTTAGATAACACTCTGAAGGAAAGGAGTTTGTTTTCTGTTATGTGAAACTTCATGTTTATCCGGGTGTAATATTTATGCTCTCTTTTCTGTTTCTAATGTCTCAGTCATGATTTGGATAATATTTTGCTTGAGAACCTGGGTGAGACGAGGACGTTGCAAGCAGTTTTTGAGCTGGAAGCTCTTGTCCTCACTGGTGAGTTTGTGTTTCTCAAAGAATAATGTGAACTTTGGGACATTTACAACATCTTTACTTCAAAACTGTTCTCTTTACTAGTGAGGTTATGATCCTAAATTTTGTGCCTTTAATGAATGAGCCAAGGCTTAACATTTACCGGTTTTGTTTTGATTTTTATTGATTATTTCATTTAGGTCACTGTTTGGAGAAAGATCACGATCCCCCTCGAGGCCTTCAGCTAATTCTTGGAACAAAGAGTATGCCTCACTTGGTTGATACTCTTGTGATGGCCAATTTGGGTTACTGGCAGATGAAAGTCTCTCCTGGGGTCTGGTACCTGCAACTTGCTCCTGGAAGAAGTTCTGAGCTTTACATCCTTAAGGAAGATGGTGATGCAAGCCAGGGAAAATCATTGTCAAAACGTATCACCATAAATGACTTGCAGGGTAAAGTAGTTCATATGGAAGTTGTAAAGAAGAAGGGCAAGGAACATGAAAAATTGTTGGTTTCTGATGATGATCGTTCACAAGAAAAAAAAGTTGGTGCTTGTTATTATTGGCTGAAATAATTTGTCTGAAGGACTTTTTTAGTCAACAAGGTTGGCCTCATATAGGATGAGATCTATCATCTGAGAATGTTTTTTCTTGATTTTTACAGGGTAGCTGGAACTCTAACATTCTCAAATGGGCTTCTGGTATTATTGGTGGTACTGAGAATTCAAAAAAAAAGGAAAGCACTTCCGTGGTGAGTTCCTACATTTCACAATTTTGTGTTTTTGAGAAATTTTTTTTGAAAAAAGTTAAAAAAAAGTTGAATTGGGCTAGTATTATGATGTAGGATTTACAAATTCCTAAAATACCCCCTATGTTTGTTTTTTTACAAAACACCCCCTATAATAAAACATTAAAAGTTAACAAAAACACCCCTAACCCACTCTCAAATACGGACAGCTGGCCACCACCGTCGTATCGGCGCACGATCGGCTGGAGTTGCTATGGCCTTTTCTGGCCAGATCCACGGCAAAGGCCAGATCTACGGCTAGATCTGGCCATTGACGGTCAGATCTGGCTGTATTTGCTCGTCAACGACAGCCAACAAACGGTCGTCGTTGATGGTCAACGATAACCGTTTGTTGGTCGTCGTTACCAACCAGTTACGGCCAAAGATCTGGCCGTCAACGGCCGGATCTTTGGCCTTAGATCTGGCCGTCAACGGCTGGATCTTTGGCCTTAGATCTGGCTTTTTCCGATGACGGCCGGATCTTTGGCCTTAGATCTGGCTTTTTCTGACCAGATCCACCGTGGATCTGGCTGGAAAAGGCTAGATCGGCGCACTATCGGCCAGATTCAGTCGGTAGTGCGCCATCCTACCAGATTCCGGCCATTTTCCGGCAGTGGTGGCCAGAATCTGGTAAATGTGGATTGTTGGGGTGTTTTTGCAATTTTAAAAAAAAATATTTAGGGGTATTTAATTAAATTAATAAATTTAAGGGGTTTAAAAAAAGTTGAATAATATTAAATGTTTTTGGGTGTTTTACTGTTTAACTTTTTTGGGAATACTAAAAGTAGTATTCCCAAAAACCAACCACACGAAGCCAATTTGATGGCACGACATTTCTATGGAGGACGCAAAAATGCTTTTGTAAATGAATTTTATGTTATTGTTATGTGACAATAACCCTCTCCTTGGTAATTGCAATTTTAAATTTTATCTTCTTTGATGAATTTTATTTACTGAATTGTGATAAGTCCACACTTTTTTCCTCTCAGGACCGTAGGAAGGGTGAACGACAGGGAGAAATAATTAATATATTTTCTATTGCTTCAGGACACTTGTAAGTCTTCTTTTTTATGTTACTCAATTATGACCCCTATCTACGTTTATCTCGAGAATGTCAGTGGACATACCATAATATTGATATAATTAATTTCCCATGAGTTTCTTGGTTACCTAGGTTGTAGGGTCTATAAGTAATCCTCAGTTTATAACTTATTGAACAAGGGAAAGGTCTAGAGATTCCTAGGTATCTAAGGGGAAAAAAAAAGACGATACCACCAACCTGATTTTCTATATGTTTACCTTATTGTAAAGTGAACTACTAACTTTTGAGATATTTCAGTTGAAAGTTTTTGTTAAATTGACTAAACTAAAGCAAGTTTTGTTTAATTTTTACTAGTTGTTTGAAGGGTAAATTTAATGGTTAGTAATTTAACACTCCAAATGATCAATTAGAATCCTTTCAGAAACCATTAAGTGGGTATTTTGCCACCCACATATCCTGTGCACATCAACATTCATTGTTTATTTTGGTAATTTCTATCCCTTGTCTTTGAGTTCTTTTACATAGATTTTTATCAATTGCTAATGGTTAATTGTGTGCTGTGGCAGATATGAGCGCTTTCTCAAAATCATGATTCTAAGTGTCTTAAAGAACACCTGTCGTCCAGTGAAATTCTGGTTTATTAAGAACTATCTCTCGCCCCAGTTTAAGGTTTTGCATTTCTTGTATTCTCTTGTTAAATTTTAGAGAAATACTAGAAACACTCTCTTTTGTATTCTCTTTCTTACTCTCTCATTCTCATTGTCGTGTACAAAAGACAAAAAAAGGGGAAATAAATGATCACTTTCTTTTCCATTTTATTTGTCATTTTGAACACGTGTCAATTGGAGAGTGAGAAATAGAGTGCTAAAGAGAATGGTTAGGATTCCTCTAAATTCTATATTTGGATTAAAGAACATAAATAACTCAATTATCTAACATACATATACTCTTGTTAATGACACCTGATCAGGATGTGATTCCACATATGGCACAAGAATATGGTTTCGAGTATGAATTGGTCACCTACAAATGGCCAACATGGTTGCATAAGCAGACAGAAAAACAGCGAATTATCTGGGCTTATAAGATCTTATTCCTTGATGTTATTTTTCCCCTCTCATTGGAAAAGGTCGGTGTGTTTCTGGCTTAGGGTTAGATGACTCTATTTGTTGCATATTTGTTTTTCCATCTTTGCAACTTAAAATTTGTTGGAGAAGTTTTTAAATTGTACGATAAATACAACTGCAGGTTATATTTGTTGATGCGGATCAAGTTGTCAGGGCTGACATGGGGGAACTCTACGACATGGATTTAAAGGGAAGACCTCTTGCATATACTCCATTCTGTGATAACAACAAGGATATGGATGGATATCGATTTTGGAGACAAGTAAACACCAAAAAGTTTTCCTTTTGTCTTTGGTTTTTCGCTCCTGACTCTCATTGATCTCATCCTGGTTGTGTTTACTGATATGTCCGTGATTACACCTTTGCTTACTCTTTTTTTTCTTAATTTTCTTTATTTGAACAGGGTTTCTGGAAAGAACATTTACGTGGTAAACCATACCATATTAGGTAGGTGGCAGATATCAATTGTGCTGTCTATTATTTATTGGACTTATTAAAGAAATATGGGTTTGACATGTGCTGTATTTCCTGTAGTGCTTTATATGTTGTCGACTTAAAAAAATTTCGTCAGACTGCAGCAGGAGATAATTTAAGAGTTATTTATGAAACTCTTAGCAAGGATCCAAACAGTTTAGCCAATCTAGATCAGGTATGCAACTCAGTTTTCATATTAATAGTGAACTATGTCTTTTCCAGATTGATTGGTCTCCTTATGCAGAAACACACAATGTTTGGCACCTTTACATGTTCTTCGTCTTCTTCATTCTATTTTTTCCCTTTTGCAATATCATTAGTTTATTCCAGATTTATGTAAATTGCTTTTTGTATTTTAGGATCTTCCGAACTATGCCCAACATACAGTACAGATTTTTTCACTTCCTCAAGAATGGTTATGGTGTGAGTCATGGTGTGGTAATGTTACAAAATCTAAGGCAAAAACCATTGATCTTTGCAACAATCCTATGACAAAGGAACCCAAGCTTCAGGTAAATATAAATAATCCTCTTTTTGTTAGAAACTGCACTATTGATCATCAACGTCAAATTTTTTCTCTCTTTTACTCATCGGTTGTTTTTTTTCTCAGGGTGCTAGAAGAATAGTTTCTGAGTGGCCGGATCTTGACTCTGAGGCTCGACAGTTCACTGCAAAAATCTTAGGTGACGAAGTGGAGCACCAAGAGACAACAGCAGCATTTTCTATTCAATCAGATACTTCAAAAAGTGATGCTTCCGCTAAAGAATCAGGACCATCACATACTTCAACAAGTGATGTTTCATCGGAAGAAGACTCGGAATCTAAAGCAGAGTTGTGAAATTAACATATAGGCAAATTCAAGGTCAGATTACCTCCCAAGTTTCGGTTAGAATCTTCGGAATTCAATTTGCTTTCCATTAAATAGCATGTTTCAAGGTCGTCGCCTATGAGCAGGTTGAAGATTCTTCTCTTGCTTGCGGACTTTTGCTTTCAGGATGAATTCATCATTAAGATACACCTTTTCCAAGCAATTTTTTTTATAGATTGCTTCTGGAATGGCTTGTTAGAGTTTTGGAGGATTTAAGTAAAAGAGATTTATTTATAGACCAGAAGAAAGTTTAAAAGCTTGAAATAGTGAAGCTAAACCATTTTTAAGGGATAGAACATAGTAGAGAAATTTTGATTAAAATGTAACATTTCACGGTAATGGAATGAATAAGGTGTAATAGTTGAATATGTTTACAAAATTTTAACATTATTAATCATGCAAATTTGTTTAATCTAGCTGCATTTCATTTTTGTGATTGCAGTACTTGTTTAGTTGTTTTTGTATATATAAGTAAACTTCAACGGTAACAGGAATTTTTTTTTTTAAATAAATAAATAAAATATGATACCACTAAAATAAACATAACTTTTCTTGTTTCTCAAAAGGTCTATCATTTACAGAAGCCAAGTGGAGAATGAAATACTACTTAGTTTATAAATGGGAGATTATAACTAACCACCTGTAATACATTGTATAGCTAGTAATTCTTTGAAAAATATATGATAAAATCCACTAAATAACTTTTATAAACATATATAACATAATGTAAATCCAAAATTCTAATTTTTATTCACAAATAATATTACCTAACATTGATATACTTTAGTAACATAAGGTAATCTTGAACAGTGCCCCAACTCCACCACTTCTTGACTCCCCCGATCATAAATATCTAGTACCTGCAAAACAGTAAATTAACGGATTGGCACTAATGCTCGTAAGTAAACCAAATGTAATGCCCCAATTGAGGTACGCATTTATTGTTTCTTCTTTTGCTCTTATTTGAGTTGGGTTCTGTAATATTTGTTGGTTGACCTTCGTTGAGTGTTATGTTGAATACTTGCCCTGAATTCGTTGAAAATAGAAGAAGTTTTGTTTCAGTCTTCGCGGGGCGAAGAAGAATCTTCGCCACGGCGAAGAGGTGTTGAAGCCACGGGGAACCTGCTGGACAGTTTCGCCGTGGCGACAGGCCAATCACAATGTTGTTAAGTTTTAGATATTTTCTTCCCTAGGGCAATTTGACCATTCTACCCCTAATTAGCGGAAAGTGGGGAGTATTGAAAGGATTTTTCATGAGAATATGTTGCTATGGGGTGTTTTGGTAATGAATCAAAGGATATAGATAGAATTCCCAAAGAGAGTAAGGGCAAAATGGAAGGCTTGTGTAAATTTCATTAAAAGGAATTAAGACTTTCAAAACCCTTCATTCTACTTCTCCAACGCCACTCTGATGCGCGTTTACTACAACATGCAAAATTAGCAAGTATACTAGTCGCTCAAGTAATAAAGTGATGGGTAGGATATCGTTCCCACGAGGACTGTAGCAAATCACTAAGTTTCCTAATGTTATCAAGTTGAAGAAATCGAAATCTTTGGATTGGTGGGAGCAATTTTTAAAAGAAAAGAAAACAAAGCTGAAATTACAAAGAATTAAATCTTAACTAAAAGCAAAAAGAAACACAGAATATCAATTCAAGTAAACGGGCAGGTTTTGACTTCGTTTGGACTTATGGGTTAAACCTAAGATTTACACTATTTTCACATTCATGTACGATGGTTGTAAATCGGATTCACTATATGTTACATACCCTCTCGGGCTATGTTTTCCTATTCAATCTTATTAACAATCCGCACCCAACAAATTGAAAGTTAATAATTCTAAATTCATTAAGCATAAGAATCCTAAAGTGATTTCATAATTCTTGAATCTATCTCTAGCATCCAATAATAATGGTGAAGACCAAGAAGCCTAACATGAATTATTTCTCAATCTCATCATGTTCATCACATTCAGCATTTAAAACAGAGTAACACACAACCAAAACTTATTCATATGGAATAAAACCATCAAGTAATTAACCCTATAAATCCAACTACAATCAAAACCCTAACCCATAGAAATTAGTTCATAATAATTTAATACTACAAAAACGAAAAATAGAAAAACAAGTTATACATAATAAACTAGATGAAAGATAAGAGATCTTCCCAAAAGATGATCTTCTAGCAAAAATCTGAATCTTCCCTTCATAATCCCCAACTACAAGCTTTACTGTAAGAAAAGTGTAAAAACGGCTAAACCTAGAAAGCTGAAGTCCCCCTACAAGAAAACGTTTTTCCTTTTATACTTAGTCCAAAAACCCAGCCAAAAACACGCACACGCGAAACTATGCGTTTACAAAACTGAATAATTTGACTGTCGCTGCGGCGAAGAATGAAAAATCCCAATCGTCTCTGCCTAACTTCGCCGCGGCGAAGACAATTTCTTCACCGGGCGAAGCTCCTTCAAAAGTTCTGAAATTTACAGACTGCCACTCTGCTTGCCTCTTCGTTCGATTCTTCGATTTTCGGCTCTCTACCTTGGAACAAGCTTCATCGTGCTTTGTTCTGCTCTGGAACTCTCCTATCTTCTGAAATCCGCTCAATTCTGAGTCAAAACTATCAAATTTTGTCTTTATTTCCTCAAAAAGTACATTTTAACTGAAACAGAAAAGTAAAGAATTAAGCACCAATTCAGGTAAAATGCACTAAAAGTACCTGAAATCCGACAAAAAGATCAAATAAAACTGTTATAATTTACGGATTATCAACTACCCCCAAACTAAGAGATGCTCGTCCCCGACATACAGTACGAAACTAACGAAAACAAGACAAACAACGAAAAACAAAAACATGAAACATGCACACAAACTGACAAACTAAATTAACAAAACTCAAATACCACAATGATTTCCTAGACATTGCACGATCTCATAAATTGTTGAAAGTTTATTATCAAGAATGTTCGACATTCCAAGAAGTTATAAGCCACATCGACTGTCTTCCTCAATCGGTCCACCAAATAGGTAATCCCCACTTCAATCCACATTCCAACTTCCCGGTTATTTTTTGCAAAAATGGTAAAGTTTATCAAATGGTGGCGACTCCATAAGCCTAAATATCGAACTCTTCCACTAATGAGGACTAAACACAGATGAAATCAAAGGTCTTAAAGGCTTGTAATGTAGGATCGGTTCATGGGCTCCAATAAAGGATAGGAAACAAAGTAAGAGAACTCGGTTGTCCTAAAGCAAAACTCAAATCACATCGAAACCCACACTTCCTCAACACCAATTGACATGTCTACTCATCACAGTCTCCATACGCGTATTCTTAACTTTTGGAAACCATAAATACAGGGAGACTTGTTTAAGGTGTACGTGGCGTTGTTAAACCCGAGGTCGCCAAATACTGCTAGGCAGTTTTTAAGGCGGGTTCTGGTTTCCAGCCGGTATACCCTTAAACTAGGCTGCATTGTGTTCGACAAAAATTTTATTTTATTTTAATTTTTTTTTTTTTTAGAACACAACACTAGAATTGAATTGAGGTGACTACCTCCTTTTTTTAATTCTTTTCTCTCAACCCCCACATCATTCTTTTGATCTTCTTTTCATTTTTCTTCTCTTAACCCCCAAACTAATCTTTTGCTCAATTGTACACTCTTTTCGTCTCGGTTTTGCACTAAGACCGAATTCTCCTAAAGGTATGATAAAGTGTTTAGGGTAAAGAATTTACAAATCCGTTGTTTTCCAAGAAAAATAAAGCAAAGTTAAATGGCTCAAATGGCTGACTAATGAAAATTTCAATCATGGGTTGGCTAGAAAGGTTCAAACGTTCCAAAAATCGCCTAAATCATCTCCTCAACTATGTGTAATCCTAGAATTTCGCCTTGAGCATTTTCTCAACTAGTTCTAGATCCACCAACATTATCAGACTTTGCCTAATCGCATAAAATGAATCTAAGCATGCTGAAACAAATGAAAATCGTGGTTGAACCACTCAACAACACCTCAATCAAAATCCAGTCAATAAACGTAAACTTGAGCAATGCTTACATTTCTCACAATAAAAATTCAACAATCTTTCTCATCATTGATTTATACACTCATCATCGGCAAAACAAACAACTGAAAGAAAAATGCAACACAAAATACGTTTAATTTTTTTTTTATTTTTTTATTTTTTATACAATTTTAAGGTGTACGCGGCGTTGTTAAACCCGAGTCGCCAAATACTGCTAGGCAGTTTTTAATGCAGTTACTGGTTTCCAGCCAATATACCCTTAAAATAGATTTACAGTTTAAGGTGTACGCGGCGTTGTTAACCCGAGGTCGCCAAATACTGCTAGGCAGTTTTTTAAGGCAGTTACTGGTTTCCAGCCAATATACCCTTAAACTCAAATCTATTCCCTACCCCCAAACTAAATATGACATTGTCCCTAATGTTCCATTATGCACAAGTCAAAATAAGCACATAAAAACAAAAGAAAAACTAAGAACAAAATAGGTACGAGAATGCTCCCTTTATAAGTCATGAATTGTGCTCCACAATGTCACCCTGCTCGTTCTTCATCATCCAAGTTCTGTCAAAACAATAAACTGTGGTGTCCCTCATGTTAGAACGAATTCGCAACTAATATTGAAAGTATTACAACCTAAACTCGCCCTTTAACAACTACTAACTAAAACATTAACTAACAAATAACAAATAAAACAAATCCAAAACCAAAATAAAAAAAGTTTAGTTTCAACTGGACAAGAAAATTAAATGAAAGCAATTAAACCAAACACAAACAGGCTCGGGTTCAGTCTTGTTCTTCCTCTGATTCCTCTTCTTCCTCTGATTCTGGCCAATCATCTGAGTTCCAGTCAACCCAATGATACGCGGAGTGTCAACCTTCAGTTCCTTGAGCTGTCTGTCAGCAATTCAGGAATGCTCTTTGTCCGCTCACATCCCAATCCTGTCTTCTCTTCATGTATTTATCATGCCCATCATTTCTGCATCATCTCTTTTTGTGACCCTGTGGGCTGGATGATGTGGCCATGCTGTTCTCTGCCTCTTTGCCCCTGCTCTTGGTTGGGAAGCTTCCGTTCGGCAAGTGTCGGAGCTGGATTAATACGCGGCTCATCATCTTGAACCTTGACTCCTGCTTTTAGACACATGGCCGTGATGAGATGCGGAAACAGTAACTTGATCGCCCCTTTTGGGATGCTACCCTGACACTGTCATAAGATGTGTTCCCACATCCATACTCTTTCCTGTGGCAATAGAGTAGAGCAATTCCGCTTCTCATGAGTCACTGTGCTGTAGTGCGTCTCCGGCATTGTTTAGCACAGACAAAGTACTGCCTAGCTGAGCCTTGGTGTCAACTGTGTTCCTTTGAGTGTCTTTTTCTTT